AATCCATAATATACAATTATATCCATTATTCTAGAACGTATTGATTTAACAAATAGTTCATTGTCCCTAGAAATGACAAATAACTTTAAAATAATCCAATTCCAGAACGTATTGACAAGAAAACTATGAAAAATAATTCAATGTTTATTGATATTTATCATTCTAGAACGTTTGGTATGAATAATCCATTAATCAAGCAACTATGAATATATTGAGGCAATGACAAGCAACTATGAAAAATTATCCATTATTCTAGAACGTATTGACAACTATGAACAAATAATTCATTGAAATGACAAAACTAGTTCATTGAACGTCAAAAACTACGAACAAATAATTCATTGTCTTAGTACGTAATGACAAGCAACTATGAACAAATAATCCATTGTCCCCATAGAACGTAGCAACTATGAACAAATAATTTATCATTCTAGAAAGCGTATTGACAAAAAACTATGAACAAATAATTCATTGTCTTAGAAACGTAATGACAAGCAACTATGAACAAATAATCCATCATTCTAGAACGTATTGACAAAAACTATGAACAAATAATTCATTGTTCCAGAACGTAATGACAAGAACTATGTACAAATAATCCATCATTCTATGAACAAATAATTTCCATCATTGTCTTAGTACGTAATGACAAATAACTATGACAAGCAAATAATCCATCATTCCAGAACGTATTGACAAGAAACTATGAACAAATAATTCATTGTCTTAGTACGTAATGACAAGCAACTATGAACAAATAATCCATCATTCCAGAACGTATTGACAAGAAACTATGAACAAAATAATTCATTGTCTTTAGTACGTAATGACAAAGCAACTATGAACAAATAATCCATCATTCTAGAACGTAATTGACGTAATGAAACTATGAACAAATAAATAATATTGACATATGTCCTGTCTTAACGTAATGACAAGCAACTATGTACAACTATGAACAAATAATAATTATTGTCTTAGTACGTAATGACAAGCAACTATGTACAAATAATCCATCATTCCATTGAACGTAATTGACAATGAAACTATGAACAAATCCATCATTCCAGAACGTATTGACAAGAAACTATGAACAAATAATTTCATTGTCCTACGTAATGACAAGCAACTATGTCTTAAATGTAAATAATCCATCATTCCAGAACGTATTGACAAGAAACTATGAACAAATAATTCATTGTCTTAGTACGTAATGACAAGAAACTATGAACAAATAATCCATCATTCCAGAACGTATTGACAAGAAACTATGAACAAATAATTCATTGTCTTGAGTACGTAATGACAAGAAAACTATGTAACAAATAATCCATCATTCCGAGAACGTTTGACCAGAACAAATAACAAATAATCCATTGTCTAGTACAAATAATTCATTGTAATGACAAGCAACTATGTACAAATAATCCATCATTCCAGAACATTGACAAGAAACTATGAACAAATAATTCATTGTCTTAGTACGTAATGACAAGCAACTATGAACAAATAATCCATCATTCCAGAACGTATTGACAAGAAACTATGAACAAATAATTCATTGTCTTAGTACGTAATGACAAGCAACTATGAACAAATAATCCATCATTCCAGAACGTATTGACAAGAAACTATGAACAAATAATTCATTGTCTTAGTACGTAATGACAAGAAACTATGAACAAATAATCCATCATTCCAGAACGTATTGACAAGAAACTATGAACAAATAATTCATTGTCTTAGTACGTAATGACAAGCAACTATGAACAAATAATCCATCATTCTAGAACGTATTGACAAGAAACTATGAACAAATAATTCATTGTCTTAGTACGTAATGACAAGCAACTATGTACAAATAATCCATCATTCCAGAACGTATTGACAAGAAACTATGAACAAATAATTCATTGTCTTAGTACGTAATGACAAGCAACTATGAACAAATAATCCATCATTCCAGAACGTATTGACAAGAAACTATGAACAAATAATTCATTGTCTTATTAATGACAAACAACTATGTACAAATAATCCATCATTCCAGAACGTATTGACAAGAAACTATGAACAAATAATTCATTGTCCCATAGAACGTAATGACAAGAAACAACTATGAACAAATAATCCATCATTCCAGAACGTATTGACAAGAAACTATGAACAAATAATTTATTGTCTTAGTACGTAATGACAAGCAACTATGAACAAATAATCCATCATTCCAGAACGTATTGACAAGAAACTATGAACAAATAATTCATTGTCCTACAAGAAACTATGAACAAATACATTGTCTTAGTACGTAATGACAAGCAACTATGAACAAATAATCCATCATTCCAGAACGTATTGACAAATAAATTGTCTATGAACAAATAATTCATTCCATTGACAAGAAATATGAACAAATAAGTACGTAATGACCTAACAAATTTGTCTTAGTACGTAATGACAAGAAACTATGAACAAATAATCCATCATTCCAGAACGTATTGACAAGAAACTATGAACAAATAATTCATTGTCTTAGTACGTAATGACAAGCAACTATGAACAAATAATCCATCATTCCAGAACGTATTGACAAATAAACTATGAACAAATAATTCATTGTCTTAGTACGTAATGACAAGCAACTATGAACAAATAATCCATCATTCCAGAACGTATTGACAAGAAACTATGAACAAATAATTCATCATTGAACAAATAATCTTATTCCAGAACGTATTGACAAGAAACTAAACAAATAATTCATTGTAGTACGTAAAATAATCCATCATTCCAGAACGTATTGACAAGAAACTATGAACAAATAATTCATTGTCTTAGTACGTAATGACAAGCAACTATGTACAAATAATCCATCATTCCAGAACGTATTGACAAGAAACTATGAACAAATAATTCATTGTCCAGAACGTATTGACAAGAAACTACGAAAGCAACTATGAACAAATAATCCATCATTCCAAACGTATTGACAATGAAACTATGAACAAATAATTCCAGAACGTATTGACAAGAAACTATCTTAGTACGTAATGACAAGAAACTATGAACAAATAATCCATCATTCCAGAACGTATTGACAAGAAACTATGAACAAATAATTCATTGTCTTAGTACGTAATGACAAGAAACTATGAACAAATAATCCATCATTCCAGAACGTATTGACAAGAAACTATGAACAAATAATTCATTGTCTTAGTACGTAATGACAAGCAACTATGAACAAATAATCCATCATTCCAGAACGTATTGACAAGAAACTATGAACAAATAATTCATTGTCTTAGAACGTAATGACAAGCAACTATGAACAAATAATCCATCATTCTAAAACGTATTGGCAAGTAACTATGTCAAATAATCCATTATTCTAAAACGTATTGATTAGCAATTATGAACAAAATAAGACATGAGTACCACGGGGCCGAATTAAATGTTACAAGAAACCGACAATAATTGATTTATATATATTGATTTATTTAATTTTTTGGCGAGGCGACATTTAAAATGGTTGCCTCACCTTTTTTGACATATGAGAGTCGAACAACTCAGTTTTGAGAACTGAACAAGCCAGACCACCCCACCCTAGCAAATTAATAAAATATGATTCAATTATTTTGGTGAAGTTTTGTACAAGGTCTTCTAGACTTTTTTTCGGAAGAACTGAAGACAGAGAACTGTCGCGATGTATGCGCCACAAGGTCTCCAAATGACCATCGTCAGGTTTTGAATACGGAGTTGCTCTTATTCTAGACTGGTTGTCAACGAAGGCTATAGGGCCCAATCTGTCCTGCTATTTACCCGTAGATGGGGGGGAAAAGAATGGATTTATATCTTTCGCAAGGGAATTCGGATGTAAATGAAAGTAAACGAATTCGATTTAATACCGATTTTGAGCAACGCCATCAATTGATTCATCCTTAAATCCTCCTCCTTTTCGTTGCCTTATTCTTAGCTTCTCTTCTTTAATATCTTAATATATCTCTCTCTCTCTGTCTCTCTTTCATTACTTATTTCTTTGTTTTCTTTTTTCTTCTTTGCTTTCTCTCTCGAATTCCATTTTCTACTATCTCTCTTTTCACTTTCACTCTTGCACGTGACTTTTTAAAGCCTCGGAAGGAGAAATCGGCAATCCGCGTTTGTATTTCAGTCGAGATTGTTATAATCACTTTCGTATAAATACTAATTGGAAAGACTTGAAATTATCTATCCTAACCTCAATTACGAGTTAGACACTAGGAAATACAGAACTCTCTAGCCGTAGTTGGCGACCAATGTAGAAGAAAGAAAACTGTGAATTCCAAACCCCATGTGTCCCCTGTGGGGCACGTGCATGAACTGTAACTAAGGCCTTCTCAGTTTTGTTATCGTACAAACCAAAGCTTGGCTCTGTGGGTGTTGAAGAAACAGGAATGGGTCTTTACACATGGAGCTTCTTGGAAACGAGCAGTTATCCTGAAGATGAGAAATCACACTGATTTACAGTGTGCCTTCAAGTCGAAACAGTTCTGATGATGCTATGTTCTACTTTCCACTCTGTCGTTTCCTCTCTTACGTCTATCTTTTCTTTCCTCGTTCACTTTCTCTCTGCATTATTCTTCGTTTCTTCGCCCTTGCCTTCTGCTGTTAATTCTATTTCTTTTTAAGCGTTTCACCCCAAGCAAGGCGGGAAGCCACTAGGACGCAAGGGGTTACAGAAGATTTGGAGCAAGATCAGATAGGAGTGATAGAGGAAAGGATGAGGAGAAGGATAGTGGATAGATCAAGACAACCGGAGATGTCGATTGACATTACATTTGAATAGTTGGAGATTATAGCTCTCAGGGAAACTGGAATGAGTTCCACAGACGAGAGGGGCGAGATATGAAGCTATTGGATTAGAAGAGACGGCTACATTTAATAGTTTCAACAGTGAAAGGGTCAGATCGGGATACCAGCTTCGTAGGACGCTTGAATTCGTGAAGTCTGGGAACCAGCGAATGCAGCTCCCCGGGGCAATTACCATCTGTTTCTTTTCTTTTTCCTTCCGCTCTTTTTCTTTATCATCTCTTATTCTCTTTACGTTTGATCCAAATCTCTCTCTCTCTCTTTCTTTCCCTTATTCACTTTCTCTTTCCCTCTCAATTCATCATTATCTATTCCATCCCCCCTCTCTTTGTCTCCTTTGCGCCCATCTTCCTTTATTTTTCCATTCTTCCCAACCCTTCCCTCTTCTTTTCTCCGACTCCATCTCTCTTTCTTCTTTCTTTCCATCTCTTCTGTTTATCTCTTCACGCTTTCATATTGCTTCTTTTCTTACTCTTAATTTCTCTCTCTACTTCTTTTGTCCAAAACTTCAATTGTTTAGTTTAGCTCTTCAAATAACAAATCAGCTTTTGACGTTTTTATTTTTTACCATCCCATTATTGTCGGACGAAACAGCTTCCGAAGAATCTTTCATTTGTTGCGATGACATTTGAGAGAGACGTGTTGTTTTTCTCTTACTTTTTCCTGTTCTTGCCTCCCTGTCTTCTTTGGTCTTTTCCTTCCAAGCAATATACCTCCTCTCTTCCTACAACGTTTCTTTCTTTTCTTCATTGTTTCCCCTTTTCCTCCCCCCATTCACTGTTTTTATTTTTCTTTCTCAGAAAACATTTGTTGTTGCCATGTCTCCTACATTTTTCTACTGTTTACTCGATTGTTTAATTTTGTTTTAATCGAAAAGAGTTGAGGTTCTATAGACGAGAAACCAAATGCAAAACTGGAATTGGATAAAAAGAAAATACTATTGATTACTACGGGGGGGGGATAAAGAAAATGATAGGAACGAGAAAACAGTGAATAAGAAAGAAAGAAAGAAAGAAAGAAAGAAAAAGAAAGAAAGAAAGGCAACGTAGAGAAAAGAATAAGTTGAGAAGAAATGAGAAGAAGAAAGAAAGAAAGAAAGAAAGAAAGAAAGAAAGAAAGAAAGAAAGAGGAAACCTGAAAAAAGAATAAGTGGAAGTGGAAAAGAAAGAAAGAAAGAAAGAAAGAGAAAGAAAGGCAACGTAGAGAAAAGAATAAGTTGAAAAAATGAAAAGAAAAAAGAAAGAGAAAAAAAAGAAAGAAAGAAAGAAAGAAAGAGGCAACGGGGAGAAAAGAATAAGTTGAAAAAATGAGAAGAAAAAAGAAAGAAAGAAAGAAAGAAAGAGAGAGAGAGAGAGAAAGAAAGAAAGAAAGATAGAAAAATGAAGCGTGGAGAATAGAATAATTGGAAAAGAAATGAGAAGATGAAAGAAAGAAAGGAAGAAAGAAAGAAAGAAAAAGGAAGCGTGGAAAAGAAATGAGAATATGAAAGAAAAAAAGAAAGAAAGAAAGAAAGAACTAGGGTGCCGAGAAAGAAAGAAAAAGAAGAACCAGAAGCAAAAATAGAATAACAACGATCACTTCTTCACTATAAAAGAGGATATGGAGAATAATAATCCTTTGTCCTAAAGATTATTATTATATTGGAATAGCCATTCAATACGTAAAATCGAAAGAGAAAAACAAAACACATATGCCAGCGATTTTGTATTGAAAACATTCGTTCTATCTAAGATCTTGCAAGGTTTCAATGTTTGTTAATTCTCATACATATGCATAACACACACATATATCCGTTTCCGTTATAAATTATCGACAGAATAAATATCTTGCAGGTGGCAACTCCACGACCACGCCTCTCATCAGAACATAGCGATGATTGACAGGTGAATCCTGTTCCATAGATCTTTTTTTTTTTTTTTTCCTTCTAGTTTTTAATATGCCCGAGTTTCCCAGTTGAAAGTTTCATTATTAATTTCTTTTAAATATTTTTTAAACTTTTTGATGCGCTTAATTAGAACTTGTAAGTTTGACTTTTCGGCACGACTTAAATTGATTGGTCCTCTCGTAAAAAGAAAAGGACATTTTTTGGAAGAAGGAAGCAGGGGATTAATTTTTGTAGATTAGTATTCATTAGTTCTTGCTCTATCTACCATTTGACAGAATCGAAAAATATTGATTTTGTTATCCTTTTAGAAGTGACGTCATGTTAAGAATATAAATAGTGTCAAACCAACCTCCGACTTCGACAAGAGTTGTCTTTATTTTCTTTCTATTTACAAATGTCAAGTTTGAAATTGTACGTCATTGATAATTGCGCACTAGTGACGTTGTTCTCTCTCAAAATCGTAACAATCCTATTGTCATATTTGGACGTCACTTTGAGACACCTTGAAGCGGTGTCATGGTTAGCAAGCTTGTCTCGTTAGAACAATTACGACTGAATAGTGTGTTCGTTTCTCAATAAGTACCCCCTACTTTCGGCCTTGTGTCACATCTAATCTGCGCTTAGAAAATCGCTATTTGGACGTAACTTCTAAGCATAAAACTAGTTTGAATATTTTTACAAAAAAAAAAAAAAAGTACTACATCAGTGAGATTTTTTCATTGATAATAATAATGATTATGTTCTTAATAGACAAAATCATTTAATGCTAGTTGCACATGAATTTTTTCTCCAAAATGCGACATTATTTTTCGAACACCAAAACAGAATTGATTATTAAAATGTTATCTTTACAAAGAAAATTTTTTTCCACCATTTTTTTTTTTTACAACTACTAATTTTAAAAGTTCAAAATGTTTATTGTGGACATTTTTTATTATTGTTTCTTCTGGGATTCTTAATATTTTAATTCTTTCTTTCATTTTTTTTCTTTTTTTTTTTTTACAACGAGGTTCAATCAAAAGACCTGGGGGAGGGCACTCAAGGTAGAGTGTTACGTTTGGAGGCCATTTCTGTGTATAGGAGTGGAAGATAACGGTTAACCCTAGCCTTGAACAGATTAAAAATTGTAGTGATCGGAGCAACATCCTCTTGGGATTCGGTTCCACGGGGCAGTGGTTCGCGGGAAGAAGCTGTTCGAGTGGAACTTACTTCTCACTCATGGGATACGGAGAGAATGTGGGTAGTTTGCTACTATGTAAGTGGCATGGAATGTTCTGGCTGTAAAGGTTTGCCCCAGCGGGACCAGAGAATGTAGTTCGTCCGAGCACTTTCTGTGGAAGTAGCGGTAGAGCAGTGAGAGGTTTGGGAGAGAGGTTGAAGGGTGGAGAATAATTCGACCCCTACAAAGGCTTGGAGAAGCTTTTGAACACTATCAAGCTTGGTATTCGAGTCATTGAATGTAACCAGCCAGTTTTTACCCCATCAGATAACTTGTGCAAGATCGGAAGAGTGATCAGTCACCAATCTCTGATCCTTGAAAGTTTTAGAGGTATTTTGATACTGCCTATTTCTTTCTTTCTTTCTTTCTTTCTTTCTTTCTTTCTTTCTTTCTTTCTTTTTTCTTTCTTTCTTTTTTTTTCTTTCTTTCTTTCTTTTTAATATTTCATATTTCTTTACTTTTTATTTATTTCTAATATTTTCTCTTTCTGTGTTTCCTCCTTACTTTCTTTTTTCATCATTTTTTGTTGCTTTATTTTATTTTTGTTCTTTCTTTTTTTTTCTTTGCGTTGCTTCCATGCTTATTATGCGTTGTTTGTTTGTTTGTTTGTTTGTTTGTTTGTTTGTTTGTTTGTTTCTTTCTTTCTTTCTTTCTTTCTTTCTTTCTTTCTTTTGTGTGTACATGATTTTTTCACTCTTTCATTGTTTCTTTTTCTTTCCTTCTTCCTCTCTTTCTTTTTACCATTTTAATCGTCTTACTGTCTTTTCTGCATCTAAGTATATTTTCTCTTGTTTTCGAATTGATATTTGATTCTTTCTTTCTTTCTTTCTATATTTTTATTTTCTGCCGGTTTCTTTTTTGGCCATTGTCTCTCCCTTCTCAACTTTCTATCTTTCTGTTCTCTTCGTTCGTTGAAGTTCTTTTAACTCAAGAGCCCGTTGACATTTTTCGCCAAGTAAATACGTGCCATATATAATCTTGTTTGACCGCCCTCCCCAAAGCACACTCAACTGATTTATTCTTTGTTTACACAAAAACGTCCTTCAAAACGTCTACCTTCGTCTCTTGTTAAGTCCTCCAGTTGATAAACAACGTGACAAAATTGGTTTCTCTTTAGAGAAGAACCAATCTTAGTGAAGTTATACACAGGGTGCGATGGATAAATTCTCATTTCAACAGATATATTTAGCAAAATTACACAAAATATATTGAAATACTAAAGAGTAAATTTATTCAATAAAATCGCCATTGGCTTCATCCACAGCCTCCAGACGACTTCGGAGTCTCCTGCATCTCTTCTGGACGGTCTCCTTGTTTAAGTTGGTGAATGTTGCCATAATCCTTGCCTTCCGTTCATCTTTGGTGTTACAAGGAGTTTTGTTGGTCTCTCGCTAAACTCCGCTCCCACATGATAATTTATTTATCTATTAATTTATTCTCTTTTGGTCAAGTAGGTGGCTGCTTTTAAAGACCCTATTTCATAGACATTATCACTGGTCATAAAACGCAAAACATTTAAGACTCAGATAAAACAAATTTCCTCGCCTCCTAGGTGAGTGTCAAAATCCTAGTGTCACACTTAGAAAATAACCTAACCGTATATGTTGGCGTACAAGTTGACTGGGCGTATAAGACATAAATTTTCGTGTTAAAATGTAGGTTTTGGTCTATATTCGCCGTACAAGACGATCTCACTAAATCGTTTTTTAAAATGTATTGAATTTAGTAAGTAAATTCAGTCAGTACATACTTTATTTTTCCGTCCTAGGTATGACGATAAACTACATCCGCGTCCTGGGTAAGACGATAAATTACGTTCAACAGTAAAGCCTCTGATCAGGAGGTTTTGAGGAGCGTGGAACCACCTCTTAATTGCTGCTGTTCCCAGATCCGCCCTGACCCGGTGTGGTAGCACCTGTTAGGGTCCCGGCTATGGGCAAATAGTTAACCCTCAAAATGGGGTCAAAACACTATGAAAGCATAAAAATAGGTTTTAATACCTGAAATACTTTTTGTAAAAAAAATATTGCCGGCAATACATTTTTGAAGAAAAAAAATATTATCAAAAATAGGTTTATGAAGGAAAAAATATTACCAGAAACAAAAATGTTGACGGCATTAAATAACCTATTGAGGTTGATATGCCGTAAAACAAAAAAAAAAAAACAAAAAAAAAAACAATCTATCCCTATGAATCCATTTCAAAATTTTGTTGGCATTAAAATGGCTCACTGAGATTGATATGCCATAAAACAAACCAAACCAAACCAAACTTTATTTTCACTCAAATTATAATAAAACACGTTAGGTAGGGGAGTTAACTACTAGAATCTACAATACCACATAAGTGGGTGCTTTTTGGCACGCTGCTACGATAGCCTGAATGATATTTCTCGAATGCGATCTTTAAACGTCTTTTTGAGATACACATCCAGTTGTGTTTTGGTTCAACATCACCGAAAAAAAGAGGCGAGGCACGGGTTAGCCTACGGTAATAAATTACCGTAAACCACAGGATTTAAGGTTCTCATTTTATACCTGCAATATAAAACGGACCCCTATTTTTTTTTTTGTGTGTGTGTGGGTGTGTGGGGGGGGTTATGGTGAAAAGTGCGCCTTGTACAACGACATATACGGTAATTACTGCATTAGCTGAGATTGAAATCTAATTTGTTTTCACGTTATTTATATAGAGTCGTTAGCAAAAAGGATAGACCAATATGCGTGTTACATATTGGAGAGGCCAGAATCAATCAAGTACAGAAGTTTACCTACCTGGGAAGGGTTTTAATTCGAAGGGTTCAAATAGCGGATGATGCTTATAATCGGAACGGCCAGAGCGTTACAATAGTAACAACAAAAGAGAGATCATTAGTTTCAGAGTCTTTTCTTTTATGCGTTGGTTGGTTGAATCGTTTTTTACGGCTTATCAACCCATTGAAGGATATTTAAAGCCAGAATTTTTTTTTTTAGACTGTAAGTATATTTTGGAGAAAATAATGGTTTAGTGATACAAGTCTTACTAATTAACCCATAGATAGTGGGGAGACATAAATAACGTAAAAAAAAAAATTAGGGAGAATAGGTATGAATCACGTAACCCAACCCAACGAGAAGCCGAACTCGGTTCACTGATTAAAAAATTCCGTGCCATTATTCATTACACCACACGCACACCCAAGCTTTCAGCATCTGGGTACTGACCGGGCTTAACTCCGGCGATCGAACGGGAATCGGTGTTACAACGCTATATGGCTGTAAGTTGTCTCTTCAAGATTTGGATGATAATGGCTCTCCACAACTTCCTATACATTGTAGTCGGAAGTAATTTTTGTAACTTTACTATCCTTTCTAGAGCCTCTGTTGTGCTATCCATTTACACACGTTCATTAGGTAGTGAGCGCTGCTTAGATGTGGCACAAGGCCGGAAATATGGAGCCCCCTGTGAGGATCGAACTCACTACTCACTCGTAATTGTTCTAGCAAGAACAAGCTAGCTAACCATTAGTGATTTTCTAAGCGCTACTTAGATGTGGCACAAGGCCGGAAATATGGAGCCCCCTGCGAGGATCGAACTCACTACTCAGTCGTAATTGTTCTAGCAAGAACAAGCTAGCTAACCATTAGTGATTTTCTAAGCGCTACTTAGATGTGGCACAAGGCCGGAAATATGGAGCACCCTGTGAGGATCGAACTCACTACTCAGTCGTAATTGTTCTAGCAAGAACAAGCTAGCTAACCATTAGTGATTTTCTAAGCGCTACTTAGATGTGGCACAAGGCCGGAAATATGGAGCACCCTGTGAGGATCGAACTCACTACTCAGTCGTAATTGTTCTAGCAAGAACAAGCTAGCTAACCATTACAGCACGTCGAGGTGCCCTCACACGCCCATTAGGTAGGTTATTCTCTGTTTGCCTCTTTTAGCTTCAACATGGTATGTGAATGGCAGATTCTTCAAGCCCTCTTTCTTTATTATTTGTCCGAGGTAGTTCCACTATTTCTTATTTCTAAGCACAAATATCTTCTTTGTTCCATTTTTCTTAGAACTTCTACTTTGCATATATTTCCTACTACCTATGATATCATGGGCTACAGAAATAGTTTGTGCGTCTGCACAAACCACCTTTCACCTGCCTCTTCAAATATTGATCAAATACCACAAGTTTCACTGAACGATCTGTTTAAAAATAACGATTCTCTGTTATCTATCTATCTATCTATCTATCTATCTATCTATCTATCTATCTCAGTATACATACATACATACATATCTATCTATCTATCTATCTATCTATCTATCTATCTATCTATCTATCTATCTATCTCAGTATACATACATACATATCTATCTATCTATCTATCTATCTATCTCAGTATACATACATACATATCTATCTATCTATCTATCTATCTATCTATCTATCTATCTCAGTATACATACATACATACATATCTATCTATCTATCTATCTATCTATCTCAGTATACATACATACATATCTATCTATCTATCTATCTATCTATCACATATCTATCTATCTATCTATTTCAATATACACATCTATCTATCTATCTATCTATCTATCTATCTATCTATCTATCTATCTATCTCAGTATACATACATACATATCTATCTATCTATCTATCTATCTCAATATCCACATCTATCTATCTATCTATCTATCTATCTATCTATCTATCTATCTATCTATCTCTGTTTGTATCTACACGACTTAGTTTTAAAAATACATATCATTAACTTATTTTACATAATATATATATATATATATATATATATATATATATATATATATATATATATATATATATAAAATCCGACCGGATTAATTTATTTTTCCGATTACACTCTCGACTAAAATATTTAAATATTAATTCCTGTAAGATGATCCGGTTACAAGCAGGA